CACACACACACACACACACACAATGTCCAGCACCAAACTCAAACCAAGACTCCCAATGACTATAAGGGTGTGTCACCGGACCAGAATCCACATCGTCCTCACTCTCCATCACTGGGCCTCTGAAATCCATCACAGGAAAACACCTAAATTGGAGAGCGCTTCCTCAGAATATTAAAGGTCACACAGAAAACTCTACAGCAGGCGGCCAACGGCAGAGCCAGCAGTTAAGGACCCAGACACGTGACTGAAAGGCTGCAAGCTCCTAGACAGACCCTGCAGTTCGTTAGCAACTATCTCTGGGCAGAAGGTACTAGAGAGCATTTATCCACCAAAATGCCAGCCCTTCGTCCACCAGATTCACTGCAGGGTTTGGGAGGCGGCCTGTACCCCAGCCCAAGGAGCACAGGGCAAAGGCAGGGGAACAGCCTGGATCGAATGGCCAAATGATCCAATAGTGTGAATATTCTGAGTGTCTACATGCACCCGGGTGAAAATGCCGTCTATTTGGTCATTTACACCCGGCTCCACAAAAACCTCAAACACCGCGTTGCTCGACTGGCTCCACGTCACTTCAGTGGCTCAAGGGATCATAGAAGAATACAAATATAAAAGGCAGGGTACATTAAACACTAAATGTTCCCCTCTTCTAGCGATAGTTAGCTAGCTGAAGGCATGCCGTAATCTTGCTAACTAGCGTTAGCATGAGCAACAGGGCTTGAAATTCATTTGTCAGAATGGGGGAGAATTCCCCATATTTGTGTAGTGGGGAATAATTGGGGAATAATTTGAGCTTTTTGGGGGGTGTAAAAAAAATAAAATAAAAAAAAATTAAAAACTCCGCTGATTCAACAGCATTAGCCGTGAAATAAAATGGTGAGGCTGCTGACACCCGGGTCATGGGTGCGAATAGCCACACTGGCTGTCCACTACTGGTGCAAACAGCATCTACCAAACTCTCTGCTCCATTAAAAGATGGTCAGTCATGATTGCTGCGGCAGGTCTTCCCGATGAAAGACGTCCATCTAGTTAGCTAATGAGGCTCACACTCCTGTAAGCCACTTACTCGTAGCCAACGGCTACAGCTAAGGCAACCGTGCTTTAACTTCAGTGGGGACCCTAGCCTGACATGGCTACCCCCCCCCCCAAGGGAGCCATTTCTTGAGCCGAGAGAGAAATGAGAGAGAGTCAAAAACAATGCAACGTCAATAGTCCACAAGGGGCTGTCGGTGAAATCTGCTGATCGGGAGCAATCGATCAAGGGGCTTTAATAAGTTCACCCATTCCACGTTTCCTGAGGAAGAGTGAGGCCCCGTTTTTTTTGTGTCTTGGTTTTTTTTTTTACCAGGGCCTAGCATAGCCTAAGCATTAATCCGGCCCAGAGCTAAGAGCACAATATGAAACTCCACTTCAGCCATCTGACTGGGAGTAAACAGCCTTTATCTGGGGGTTGGTTCCTCCAAGCCGACGTGTAGACTCACCTGGACCATCCCAGGGGAGTTCCTCCTCTTCCTCTTCCTCCACCTCCTCCTCTACCTCCTCCTCTTGCTCCCGCTCTTCATCCACACTCTGTGGTGGCCCTTTATCTTCCTCCTCGCCCTCCGAGGGATCCGGTGAGTCTTCCGTCCGGTGCTCTGCCAGTGAAAGATTGCAAAGATCAGAGTCTCTCCTCTGCTGCCAGGAAGTTTTATTTCCCCACAACCTCTGCCTGCGTGTTTATACACATTACTGCTAGATCTACAGGCAGATCATCCTTAAAACCGTTTGGGTATTTTACTTTCACAGGGTAGTGTCTGCCTTGAAGGCATTACACATTTTTAAACCTTCATCAGCTCCTAAAACACTTTCCCAGCAATAGTTTTTTTGTTTTCTTCAGTCTCTGATTTTTGGTGAATTGTGTGTCAAGGATCTTGACATCAAAATGTATGTCTGGGCACGTACGTCAGCTACATCTCACGTCTAAAAGGTGAACAGACTGCGGTTAAAAAAAAACGCAGCGTTCCGTTGCAACGACTTCCATCAGCCGATCAGCCT